CAACTATTGTGTTTTGTGCACGGTCAAGGCCAAAAAAGCGAACAAAAGCCAACAACAAAGAAATTTGTCGGGTTTGGTAACCATTCCCTTCTATTAACTATGCAAAACTTTAGCCCCAAGTCCTTTAGGCCTCTAGGAATTCTTCCTCTACCAAAGGATCAAACTGCTGAACGATAAAGCGCCAAATCGTGCCTCCAGACAAGATGCGGCCTCCCCATGGCCAGACAATCTCTCCTCTCGTCATGAAGTGTCTTCCACCATCAAACCAGTAAAGACTCTCTGTCAACTCAGCAGATTTCTTCATGGTATCGTAGGTGTCTTGACCACGAGAGAACTCATTGAAAGTTTTGTCTTGGATGTTAACACTCTCTAGAGTGCTAGATGATTCTTGCATTTCTTGTTGGTGGTTCATCTTCGGAGCCGAGGATTCCATTCAGGTAGATAATGAGGTATCCACCGATGGAGAATCTACAAGCTAGATAAGCATTCTTCCAGCAAGATGAACGAGGCTCGATGTCCTGGACGAACTCCAGGTTACTTTTGCTCACCCCAACACTGCCTGAAACAATCTTCATGGGAAAATCAGTCTCGTTGATGAACTGTACCATATGTGACATCTTTGTGTTTATGACATTAGCGACCATTGCAGTGGGTCCCCCTGTCTTCGTTTCCGTATTTGACTTCTTAGTGTATACCACAGTAGCGGCCATTTCACTGGCTCCTTCGGTCTTCTGTTCCGAACTTGACGTCTTTGTGTACACCACATTAGCCATCATTTCAGGGAGTTCTTCTGTCTTGGGGTTGCGGCGGACGCGATTTCCAGGATGGATTTGATGCCCGTCTAATCTTATCTTCACCGACTGGCGTGACACTTTCTTCGCAGCAAGTTCCACTGTGGCCAAATCCTGCATTTCTTGCAAATCTAAGCTGCCTCTGACTTCTTCTACCAGACTCTTACCACGCACAATCCTGCTTAAAACGACGATCTTTGTCAGTTTTCCACCCTCATACGGAAGCCCTCCAAGAAATGTCAAGTATCTCACCTCAGACAAGAAAGAAAGCTTTTTTTTGGCATCCTCTCTTTGACAGATCATTTTTCGATCCACGGCGTCTTCAACTTTTATATACTCGCTTCCCAGCTCTGTAAATTTTCCTTAAGCTGCCATAAGAAGGGCCATGAAACAGCAATAAGCCTCACAATAAGTGACCACAGCTCTCACGAAATCGGCCACGTCAGGGTCTTTTGTCAGGTTATCTTCGTACTTAAAAGGCAGCGGTGACTCGAATCTGCTGGACAGCTCACCCATGAATTGAACATAATCATTCCACAAGTTGGGGTCGTCCAGTTTCTCTCCAAGTTTCATCGCTTGCAGTTGGGATTTCTGATCTGATACACGGCGTCTGAGCCCATCGTATTTCTGGTCCTGTAGCCTTTTGTTGAAGTGAAGCAGTTCATCATGCACAGCTTTTGCCAGCTGGTCCACCACACTTGGCTGATGTGGTTCGCTTTCTGTGAGAAGTGTGCCAATGATGCTACAGACTGCTTTAGTGACTGGGCCCAACAGCTCTCCAACGGTTGCCGAGATGAAGTCTAAAACAGCTCTCGTTGTTTCCAGGGAATCTTCACTATTGAACTTTTCTATGCCATTTGTGGTAGCTATGAGAACTTTTCTCACATTTTCAATAGATATCAGCTCTTCGTCGTGTTCTTCTTTCTTCTGCTGCTGCTTTTTCACCCAGTTGCTTATGGCGTCGAGCTCGTTGTAAAAACTGAGTTTCGTTGAGGACTGACGTGAATCAGAAAAGTCTTTCAACTTCAAACGCAAGGAGTTCACCGCGAGTTCCATAGTGAAAACGCTTTGATTATAGTTACTTTGACTCTCGGCCATTGGTATCTAAATGAGCCAGTAAATTGGAATTATGAATTATCACTCGTCATAGGGTATTGGTGCACTGTACTTTGCGAGTCGGTCAGTGTGGACTGCAGACTGCATACCGGGGGTAAAATGCACAATACAGTCTTTTTAGTATATATCGTGTTATTTCCGTTATTGAGTGTTCATCTCAAACAGGGTTCTTCGGGCTATTAGAGTGAAAGTCTGCACTCGGGTTAGCCTGAATAACGATCCGTGAAGCCCGTTTCCCGGGCTCTCAATGATGGAAACAGTAACATGAGTCAGTTAAAAAGTCTGCAGTCTGAATTTTACCCTCAGTCTGAATTGTACCTCCGGTCTGCAGTCTACAGTCTTCGATTTACACTAACCAAATGGCGAGTTTAAAATACAAGTTTTTAAAACTGTGACATGAAATAGCCTCCAGCAGGAAAAGAAGGGTTTACATACTTAAAAAACTCGGGTGATAATTATACTGGGGTTTAATTTTATTAACCCCCGTTTTCGGTGGATGCTAAGATATCATGATCAATCACGGTCAGTGTAAAAGGAAGGTTACGGACTGCGCACTATGGACCGGGGGTAAAATGCAGAACGCAGACGTAAACAGGCTAACTGGAACGTCATCAGTCAGGTTAACCGGAGCGATTGAATTCAGGCCCCGGGGATTCAGGCTTACCGGAGCTTTATTCAGGCTTACCGGAGCGATATTCGGGCCCCGGGGATTTACGCTAACCGGAGCGTTATTTTGGCTGGCTTACTGGAGTGATATTCTGGCTAACCAGAGTGATATTCAGGCTAACCGGAGTGACATTCAGGATAACCGGAGCGATATTCAGGATAACCAGAGTGATATTCAGGCTGTTAAACCGGAGTGCATGCTTTCACTACGATTAGCCTAACCCTGTTTAAGATTAGCACTCGATAATGGAAACAATAGGATGTAGATTTGAAAAGTCTACAATCTGCAGTCTGAATTCTTTCCCAACGGTCTGCAGTCTGCAGTCAACGTTATACGCTCACCGTGATCGATCATCCCGCTATTCTGATTTTAGAAATGTCCTATTCTTCGCAGAGGAGCGGAAGCAGGTAAAACGCGTACTGCTTTGATTAGATCAACATAATTTTCAGACAATTGCGTTACTGCATGGGCTACCTTGGTTAAATAAAGTTACTTACTTACTTACTTACTATACATTCGAGGAAGTCACTTACCTTGTATATATTTGTACATTCGTAGCAAACACACTAACTTGACTGACTGTTTTAGTCTACAACAATGGTCAAGTTTCATTCATCATCAACAAGCCGCCCTCTCTTATCAAGGCACGTGAACCTTCCAGGAATGTGTTGAAAATGACCTGATTGGTTGATCGATCGTTTGCGGTTTAATTAAGTGTAAATACTTGTAAATTGTTGAACTCAACACTTTGCGTCTTATCGGTCTCGCTGACAAATATTTGGAGAGTTGGCCGTCGAGGCCAAAATCATAATTTGTTACACTTTGTGAGTGAGATTCAGATTTACAAATTTGAAGTTCAAAGGCCTGATTAACGGAGGTAATCAGCATTTTACGTCGACAAAATTATTCCGCGAGCGGTTGTGCCATTGAAAGGTAATTTACTGTCTGACTGTCTCATTGAATGATCACAATTTCCTTTGTCTACGGGTGGCACGTTAGCTCCGGGCTGACTGAAATAGTTTCTATGGGCGGATAATTTATGCAAGGAGCACGATTATCAACCGGAACACACAGACGCTTTCTGCGATTTTTTCTGTTAGAGAGGGAAGCTGTCACACAGGCTATATTAACAACACAAGTTTACAAATCACAACTGCTTCTAGCCTGAATTTCAGCCGCCTCCTCCGCTCGTTAAGTCACTAGGGGAGAGAGACGTCTGAAAGCACTGGGTGATAATGCTGTCCGGTGACGTCACTAGTCAAATGTGGTAATTAATGCAATTTTATTTTAGGCCTTCATTTATACAGGGGTTATCAATCACACGCGACCTTCAGCGCAAAAGCGTCTAGACAAAACCTAAGTTTTGGTGGACGTCAATCATCTCCGCCTCCTTACCGACTATATACAAAATTTACAAGAAAACTGCAGCGGTCCACTCGTATCAGAACGCATATTTTCTCGTCGAAAATTGTTACCACCGGCTTCCCGAATTAAGTTCGACGCAAGTACGCCGTCTGAACCAGCTGTCGCTCCAAAGTCGNTCGCGCATCGTGATTTTAACCAAGTTTGGCTGGATTTGCCGGAGCTTGGGGGATATTTTCCAGTTCCAGGGACTCTAAACTAACTGGTGATGGCATTGATTTTGAATGAAATGGTTAGAGGAAAGATATTTGAACGCTCGGTTTCGAGCTTCTAGGCCGAAATATAGCCGCACTTCATTTTAAGACTGATAGAGTAGGCGAGACCGCCTTACGCGCATCCTGATTTTGACCAATTTTGGCTCGATTTGCCGGAACTTGGGGGATATTTTCTAGTCCCAGGGACTCTAAACTAACTGGTGATGGCCTTGATTTTCAGTGAAATGGACAGAGGAAAAATATTTGAACGCTCGGTTTGCAGCTTGTAGGCCGAAAAATAGGCCCACTTCATTTTAAGACTGATTGAGTAGCTTAGACGTCTTTACGCGCATCGTGATTTTGACCAATTTTTTGCTGGATTTGCCGGAACTTGGGGGATATATTCCAGTCTTAGGGACTGTAAACTAACTGGTGATTGCGTTGGTCTTCAGTGAAATGGACAGAGCAAAAATATTTGAATGCTCGGTTTCGAGCTTCTAGGCCGAAACATAGCCTCACTTTACCTTAGCCTCTTCACAAAGCGCTTTTTATCTTTAATTATGTAACCTTGATAATGGCGCGAGATGCACCAAAATGTCGGTTTCTATCACTTGTATTTCTTGTCTCAAACATGAATTTACTTAGCTTTTTTAGCCCGTTCCCTCGAAACCTACTTTCATTAGGAGGAATCTTTGTCTAGTTTTCTCTTCTTTACTCGTTTAGACTACGAGTAGTCCCTCTTTCGCTTAGTCCGTCGTACGTGACCCGAACACCAGGCTCACTGGGATCTTTGGCCAGCGGGGTCCCTTGTTCATACCTCATGTAAGCAGTATCAAAAGTGTCACCTACACCTTAGCAACGAGGAGGCGGAGGAGCTGAACCGTTGAATTTTGTTTTTTTCCACAGAAAGCGTTTGTGTTTCTATATTTCCATCCCTGTGTTGCTAATGATGAGTGAAACTGCTATCATATTCTTCACTTGGAGAAGCTTATTTTTGAGAAATATCCAACATGGATGAAGGAAATCCAACATGGCCGGCCTTGCTCCATTTGGTCGAGACGATCAACCTTTGCTTGATGTGAAAATTGTCGGGGGAAAACGAGTTGAAATCGAAGTTGATAAATATGGAAATCCCTTGAATCAGGCAAAGAGAACTGATCATCCAGGAACGAATTTCCAAACTCAGCAGCACGGAGGAAATTCTTCAGTTTTGTCGAGTACAAGTTCAGCAAAATCTTCAGCTGCATTTATTCCTCCATGGGTCAGCAGAGGTGATACACCTCCGAGAAAGCTTTTAAAATCGCTGGAAAATCCTGATGATGGAAGTAATAACGCCGCAGAAGGATTACGGAGGTTTTCTTCGCCGAGTTCTCCCGCAGTTTTACCACCTATTAGAAATAAGCTTACCTCGAGTGTTGATGTTGAAGAGAAGACCAAATCTCTTGCTTCGAGACTAACTGCAGTTCTCGGGGGGTTTGACACGTTGAGGTTGAAAGATGCCTATCTCAGCTTTGCTGGCTTTGATTCGACTTTATCAGGCTTTGTTGCTGCCGAGCAAATCGAGAGAGAATTTTTTAGGCTGCAAATTCCAGTCAGAGGGGAACTTTTGAATGAAGTGTTGTCTATGTTCATGTCAGCTCACAGACCTAACTGGGTAAATTATGAACAACTTTTGAAGTTTTTGAGCAACGCTGTCCAACCAGTTGTCACGAGAGAGTTTCATATCCCACAACTTGATTTATCATCAAACCCAGGTGACAGACTGCAGCAGAAGTTGTCAAAGAAGTCCTCGAGGGATAATAACTTGCCATTGAAGCCAAATCAGGTATCACCAAGAGCTGATGACTCACAAAAAGGTCGCCAGAGCTCAATAGCAGTGAAAAAAGCTTTTCAGGACAGGCAAGATACTGCCATTTTGTTACAAGTGGAGCAAATCCTTAAAGAAGTTGATAATGCACAGCAACATATTCACATTTTAAGAAGAGCTTTGGAGGAACAGGATGTGGAAAAAGCAGAATTTATATCCTCACAAAAGGTATCAAACTTTTTAATGATTTCTATGCTTATAATTATACAAACTGGTGATAAAATTTTTTTGATCATATCTATAACAAAATTCTTGATCCTGTTGGTTCTTGTCATGCCTATTTGTCATGTAATTGGTGCATGATCATGTGGGCATCCAATTACAGGTATCCAATTTGAACATTTTGTGATTGGAAACCTGTAATTGGATACTTACACCATTTGCAAGTCAATTATGCATGCTTTAATGGCTTCCTTTTCAATGTTTCCTACAGTTTTTAAAACTTTTGGAAAGCACTGCTGACTTAAAATGCTCAAAAGAAGTTCTTAAAAAGATTTTTTTTAATTTTGAAATTTGTTGTAGATAAAAGTAATTAGTAATTGGACCTCATGTCCTATAATTTATAATAGTAATTGGACAGGGTGGAGTACAATTCAGGGAGTAATTAGGCGAGTAATTTCAAAATCGGATGGGAGCAAAGCACAAGGCCGATTTGAAATTTGAACCCCCTTCTCTTACATGTGTATATTCTGTATCTGCTCCAGGAGACTTGACCAATTTTTGACTCAGAGACAAGTGAAACAGAGAAAATTGAGACTCCAAGACTCATCACAAAGGATTCTGAGATTTCAACATTAGAAGAGACCTAAGATTTTCTAGGACTATTTGCCGCCCTTAGTGAATGGTGGCAGCGTAATAATGGACATGAGTATAAGTTGCAAGCTAATTTTTGTCTAAAAATATATTGTGTACAATGTATTTTGTGCCTTTTACATGCAGTCCTGAGGAAATTGAGTTCTTGAATGAGTATTTTTTATTTTCCTTGAAAAGTACTTCTAAACCAAAGTCAGAATACTGTTTAAAGCTTATTATGTAAATCCTTCTTTTAGAGCTATACATGCAATCAATGGTTAAGCCTTTTCGTTAAAACAGAGCATATTTCCAATACCTGTTTGGTAACAAGTTTGACAGGTTTTGTCCTTCTTGTTTTTCAGTTAAAAACACTGTGTTTACGACATCACATTCCTTTTAACAACTCCTTGTTAGATAAGATCATCAACCGACTTGACACATACAACTCTGGAAAAGTGAGGTAACTAAGGGTTTTTAGGATGCTTTATGACTGTGTTACATGTAAACAGGACAGTTAACTTGACCCTGCTTTGCTGTCAATCATTTTAAAATTCTATTTGTTTTGTAAAACTGAGTATTTCCCGATAGTTTTTCTTTAAAAAAAAACCTTGCCATCCAATTATGTCTGTTTTCTGAACTATAAGTCTGTGTACCAAATGGCCACAGTTACATAGCCCTTTGCATACACTCTTCCCTTTGCATGAATTGTTTGCCTTTAATGATAGGCTTTGTTGACCAATGAGCATGCCAAGTAACTGGATAATTGTTCATCTTGTTTTTTATCTTAGTTGTTGGCATCCATCAAATTTGTCATTGTTCCTTTTTTGGAGATGTATATCATGAGTGTAACAGGGGAGAAGGGTCTAAATGGGCTGCTCTTTCACATCACCCCTTCCTTTTTGCCCAGAAGAACCTGATATTCAGGTTACAGTTACAAAGCCCTCTGCCCAGATCCCTCCCTCTGCGGTGGTACAGTTACATTGGACATAGTAACATGACCGCACCCCTTAGCAAAATGCTGACCATTTATATGTTTTCTTAGTTGGTTGAAATTCATCACATTTGTTGAGTGGGCCTTGTCTCTTCCTTTGCCAAACATTACTTCAATAACAAAATAATAATCATTTGCTATTTTTCTCAGTTGGCTGGAATTCATCTCATTTGTTGAGCGAGCCTTGCCACTTCCCTCACAGAGCAGTACTTCAAGTCCCAGTCTGAGTAGAGATGGTGGTGGTCATGGTCTAGAAACTCCTCCTTCCAGACCAGTTTGGGATACAAGGCAGCCCCTAAAGGGTGTCAGTAGAGAGGGAAGACGTATGTCCCCAGTGAGCACAATGGATCAAAGAGATGCATTTGAGGAACAACAGAGATATTTAGGTAAATAGACTGTTAAAGCTTTTATCTCCACGGACTGATATTGTTGCATTATAAACCGCTGGAGTGCTTATGCAGATGCAACAGGTTCAAATCCTGGTGAAGACCCAAAATATTGTTTTGAACGTAATTTGCAATTGCTTAAATTGCAATGATCCAAACCAGGGCTCGAACATGGACGACTTAATCCGGAGTCCAGGGCACTGAATAATGCAAAGTTAAACTTCCATCTCTGCCAGCCCACATTATGATTCCAAAGTCTTCTTAACTTCCATAGCCTGCATAGCTTGTACAAAATTGGGGCGAGAACAAGAAATCAACGGAGTAGGAGGTGTGGGCCTCCGTGTCCCTCTCCATTGATTTTTTGCTCTTGCAGGGTTCCCACAGGTCATGGAAAACCTGGAAAGTCATGGAATTTATTATTTCAATTTCCAGGCCTAGAAAGTCATGGAATTTTAAAGTGGGTCATGGAAAGTCATGGGAAAGTAATATGCTTTCTGAGAATAAAAAGGCAAAAAGACAAAAAATGAAAGAACAATGAGTATGAAACAGGCTTTTATTTCAGTTCAAATAGACACAAACATCCATTTTTCCATTATAATGCTTCAAAATATGTTAAATAAGTGATTGTTTTGATACTTCTGTGAGGGTAGCTGCCTAACTTTGGTCATGGAAAACTCAGAAAAGTCATGGAAGAGGTCATGGAAATTCATGGAATTTTGAAAGCTGAAAAAATGAGTAAGAACCCTGTCTTGCCCCAATTTTTGTGCAACCAGCAGGCTAGAAACTGTGAGCAGGAACACTTGCTGGGTATGCTATAGCTTCCTTTTAAGATTCTGTTGGTCACTCTCTCTTTTATTTCACTAATCTGATCTTCTGTTATTATTGTAGTAAATCGTTTGGAGGAACAGGAGAGGGTCAATCAACAGGATAAAGATTCTTATCGTCAGAAATCACTTCCGAAGCATCTTAAATCTGATGGGAGAGGTGGCAATGATTATGTCATGTCACAAGAAACTGAAGAAGAAACACGACAACTAAAGGAAAGGCGTGAGGAGTTATTAAGAAGACAACAAGAGTTGATTGAGCAAAAACGGCAGATCCAGAGGGAACAAGAAGAAATTAGCCATTTTATACAAAACCAGAAGGAGAAGTTGTATGGTGGAGACAGGGATTACGATCCCCTGCATTATATTGAGGAGGAGAGTAAGGTTGAGCGGTTCATGAAGCTGGCAAATGCTTTGTATGTCTGCGATCAGGATCAGTCAGGTGGGTAATGGCCTGGGGGTACTCCCATATATATATGCTCTTTGGGTATGTGCCACTGTGAAGGGTATGGTTTTCAGCCAGTCTAGTCTGGGTTAGGGTATAGAAATCAGACAATTTTGGTCTGGGATAGGGTATAATTTTTTTGGGAAAGTGGCCAATGTATAAATTATTTGATCCAGAACAGGGTTCTTTACCTGCGGTTCTATAATAGAAATTGAAACTGGGAAGTGAGATATTCACATAAACAGAATTATTACAACCCACTATCATGATATCACAACAAACTGGAAAACTACAATTTCAGCTTTTCCTCGCAGTTCAATCTTGTACTGTAATGAGCTTCGATCTCAGGTGTTCTTTTCCAGCTCTGGTCAATAAAAAGGTTTAGTATCCCATCATTTTAATTTTTGTATTCAATGTGACCTGGTTATTTCAAACCCTGCTACATGTATTTCAAACTGTTTTTCTTTTTTGGTAAGAGTACTCTGATGACTGGCTTTTTGAAAAAAAGAAACAGTTTATTTGTGTTTACTTGTCTGGGCAAGTTGCAAGATTTTTTTCAAGCCATTCCCAGCTTGCCAAACATGAAACAAAGGGAAACAAGTTGATTAAATTTGACGTTGACTCACTTGTTAAACCAAGAGCGGACCTTCTTTTGCTGTCCTGTTGTTGAGCCCTGGCACAACAACTGCTTGAGTTGGTTATTTTTTCTTTCCTTCACAAGTCTTTATTTCATTTGTTTTTGATTGGCAGGTCTTATAGAGGCTGACATGGCTCGTCGTCTGTTGAATAACTATAACTTAGTAAATCAACTGGACTTCTCAGCGGAGTTGATTGAAAACACCATAAGAAGCTGTTCAACTATAGACGACAAAGTTAGTGTAGATGATGTAATAGATGAACTTAAAGGTCATCTTTAAAAGGTATTCAAGCGTGCTCTCGGGTGTGGTGTGCGAGTAGGCTGGGTTAATCACAGAGGCGAGAAGGTATTAGACTCCTCGCCCCCAGGATTTCGCGCGGCCATTTTTTTCTCGCGGTTTTCTTTCGCGTCACGCACGACGGACTAAGCGAAAGAGGGACTACTCGTAGTCTAAGAAGGCATAAACAATCGTTTTATCTTTAAAAGAGGGTCTGTATGAGTGTCTGGAATATCAGTTATCAGTTGAAATCACACCTCTTTTCTCAGCGATCAGTGTATTTTTCAAAATCTCAGATCTCCGTTACCGTAGACTGCCCTTATAAGCCCTGGGCTAATACATTATAAGCCCTGAGCTTATACGACGTCGTAAGAGGTTTTAGGGGATGGGCTTATAAACGGAGGGGCTATATCCGGCGGGCTTATACGCGAAATAAAAAGACCGTTTCAAAATGAGCTACAGCAGTGTTGATGGAAATAGTTTTTTTTAAAAATATATACTGGTTTTTATTTAAGCTTAAAAACGTCATAAATCAAATTCAATTCATTTTAAACAAGAAGGGAGCTTATATTTGGGGGGCAGGGAGGGGGGAGGGATGGCTAACAATATTTCAACCCCCACGAGAATTACGCGCGAATCTAAGACCTTGATTGATATCATTTGCAGTAATCGATCGGAAGTGATATTTTGTCTACAGGTAGACGGTTCTCTAACCAGGGGGGCTTATAAGAGGTAGTTTACGGTTTGAAGAACGCTTTATTTCTCGGCTGGTAGTTGCATTTTTGATAGTGTTTATGAGGTAAACCTCATCCGGACCCTCTTACAAGCATTCGCTATTCCCCTATTACGTCATTTGATCATATAAGGTCAAGAGAACACCAGAAACATGAAAAAGTATTTCACTGAAGTGTCCCATTTTAGAAATGAATAACAAGAAGAATGTATTAAGATAATATATCCCGTATTCGATGGTTTAAAACATTTGCGGACATAGCACTGCCGCTAATTGGGGACACCCAAATTAGTTAGCATTATAAAAACTAGTTACAATATAATGATTGTAAAATATCCGCGCGTATTTACTGGTATCCATCAAGCCATGCAATTTTTTGTATGTATTCACTAGTGAAATGTAATTCAAAAGTGCAGCTCTTCAGTGAAAAGACAGATTCCTTCAAGGTATACACCTTTTAATGTGCTCGGCTCCCCACGACATCACTGCGCCGTTAGGTTATGTGGCATGCATAGCTAGCGTTTGAACGCATTTTGACCGCGCAAAAATTGCGGCTAGACCAAAAAAATGGACGAAACGGGACTCGATTTTTTGGTCCCGCTCCAATTTTTCGCGCGGTCAGAATGTTACACAGGCTAAGCTGAGAGTGTCAGTAAATGAAATCAGTCAATCAAAACGTTCTTCAATCAGAAAGTTATGCAATAAATCTCTTGTCAACCGAGCTAAACTGCGATCAGGTTTTTTTCTTCGCTTCCGCCGTTGCGAAGAAAAAACTTTGCCTGACTTCAGCTGTAATGGCTCGGGACTATACTGGGAGAATGTCGGCACATGGAGTTTTTTGTATGGAACTCGCTTATCTCGAACCAATTTCAACAACCCTTGATGTAGAGACCTGGGACTGATACTCGACCAGCGCGGCCCTCACGCAACCTCGTTCCCAGGGTCTCTTATCTTCCCACCCTCCTAGAGTAAGGTCTTTTGGTCTTCCTCTCTCGCCCCAGGGAACGAGGTTGGCCATCACGCTCATTGTTGATAAGTTATTGATCGCTAAGTTGGCTCTGATTAAACCTTGTGAATGGCGTTTTACAGAGCAGAGTTTTACCTTTATTTGTTGTAAATAGTTTTAAGGTAAATTCCCGCGAACGTCTTGTAAATAACATACCTCTTGTACATGTAAAAAAAAAAAAGAAAAAAACTAACAGAGAAAACGTTTTGATGTTTGAAGACCTTTGAAGGTCTGTAAATACAGATGTGTAACATTAAATATGCCGAGACAGAGAATTAAAGATATTTATAGCGGAGCAGTTGAATGTCAGAATGTAACGCAAGTAAACCTTTTGTAAAAACAGTAAAACTATCACCAGGAGTACTCGTTGAAGGGTCCGTGGTCTCAAATTGCCTTTGAACTGGAATAGGCCATTTCCGAGTTGCTTTTTGCCTCTGTGCCAAAAAGAGTCTTCGTGCGATACCATTCATATGAAAACGAGTTCCGCCTACAGGTTCATTTTCATGCGGATCAAACTTATTTCGTTAAGAAAGGTTTTACTCGAAGATTTTTTTTTCGAAACAGAGGTACAAGGTAACTCGGAAATGATTCTTCAATTGCAGATCAACTTTATTTACATGCACAATCTTTTTTTTTTTGTCCTACGCGCAACTTTGCCGGTTTATGCTTTATTTCTGTCATGCGTACTCTACAAATGAAGCCTCCTGGCTTTCGATGGTACCCAGGCAACCCCCCTTTGTAAGAATGCGATGCGCGTGGAGATGTGGGTCTGTTATACTCGGAAAATAGCCCCAAGCCTCTCCGCGTTCCGCTTCTTAACCATTAAACGTCGCGCTCCCTGTTTCCTGCATTTCACTGTCAAAATACAATGGCGTTCACGACGAGGCTGTGCTGGTTCTTTCTCCATTTAGGTTACCAGGGGTTAACTATGGAGATAGTTGAGACGTCTTACTTTGCGCACACTCAGTAATTTTTTTATCCACAACGCTTACGCGCCGCGCACAGGAAGACCGTGTTGCTGGCATCCTGGCGTCTTTGGTGCACTCGCGCGGAGAGACCCAACCTCATTCGCATGAGCGGAAAGAAGGGAAACCTTGAAAACCAGGTTTGGTCGTGGTAAAGGTTTTGATTACCAGCCTCAGTCTCTCAGTCTTTATCCCTGCGGCACATAAATGCGCTATTTGGCGGCAGAGAATGTGGTTAGCGGTTTTCAGTTCCCTGTCTCTCTTCAATTCGATTAGCCAGTAGAGCGTTTCTCATCTTCCGCCCTTTTCCTCTTCTTCTTCTTCTTCCTGGGCGACTCACCTCCTTCAATTCTGAAGATTCTAGTGAGCATATAAATAAAAAAAAAACTACAAATTAAAATAAGGCTAAAATGCTATAATAAAAACTAAATAATAATAATAATAGCAATAATGATAACAACAACAATAATAATAATAATAATAATAATAATAAAGTCAAAGTCAACATCGTTTGGTTTGGCCTTGGTCAGGCGGCAGGCTTTTCTTGAAGGCCGTCAAGTTTGGTGCATTTACTGTTTCATTGGCCAGGCTGTTCCACTCTCGTATCGTTCTCGGGAAAAACGAGTACATGTGGTAGTCCGTCTTTGAGCGGGGAATTTTGTACGCATCTGAATTTACGTGCCGTGATCTCCTTTGAAGTGGAGTCATGAACTCTTGTCTCCTTGTCTCTCCTTCTTGTCTCCTTGTCTCTCCTCTGATCTCCACTCAACCTCATTTGCATAAAGCTTCTTTCGTTTTCCAAGACAGGCTTATCTGACGGGAATGAAAACAGGACATGAAATGTAACTTCTTGTTATCACGGTTTTTGTTTTGGCTCCAAACTGAGACATCTTGATCACTGTTGGATGAGTTTGTTTATTTAGCCGATTATTTTTTAGTTGGCAGCCATAACTGCCCTTGTGGACTTGTAGACTTGTGGACTTATGGACTTGTAACAATGATGTGCCGGGAAAAAAAAGGTTTTTTTTTTTACTGAAATGGAAATAGTTCAAATGTCTGCTGAATGAAACTTTCAATTCACTCGACTTATTTCTTCAAACATTTAAAATTTGTGTTATTTTCAAACCAAACGCAAAAACACCAACCCCTTGTGTATTTCAAAAGGAAGTATTATAAGATTATTATCCCCATGGGGCGGGCTGACATACCGCTATAACAGATCAAGCAGTGTTTCAGATGTGTGGAGCGGGTGTGGAGGTTATTATTTTACTGGAAGTTGTGTCTAAAGCCAAGCCCTGCGGAAAATAAACAGTTGTGACGTACAATAAGTCGAACTGGCTTTCACGTGAACGCCTCAGTGGAAGTTGGGGTAAATTCTGCGTCAAAAGTAACATGTTGAATGAAGAGCATTCTGCCGCGAGCAACGTTCACAGTTTGACGGTGAATAGTGAATTTATAAATCAATCAAAAGTTGCGTCACCCGTGAGTAAACTGAAGAGGACGATTGAGCTGAAAAGAAGTTATTCCTGGGCAGCCTCAGTAACTGATCGCATCAGGAGGCGAAAGAATCTGTTTAACAAGCCAGCTAAAGGTATGTTATGCATTTTCATAGACAACACTGCAATGGGTCGATAACAAGATGATCAGGAGGTACATTGGTTTGGTTATTGTTATTCCCTACTTGTATATGCAGTAGGATTACTGTTGAAAGAAAAGAAGAGAAATCTGCGCCATCCATTCACCGTATTCAGCTGAAATGCACTCATTGATTATAGCGGGATGACTCCGTACTCTTTCATTTATCGCGATATATTGTATAATTTTCTTTTCTGACTTCCACATATTTTTTTTTATTAATGTTAGTTCTGAAAGTAAGGTCTTCTTGCTGTGCGTTTTTTGTAGTTCATGTAGTCGTAGTTCTTGTGTGGTGTCGATATAACTTGACAAGGTAATGTTATTGCCCCTGGGAGAATTAAGACGTTGATGACTCTTTGGAAAAAAAGTTTTAATAGAAAAAGGGTATTGGTTCCAATGACTGTGATATATCTCTTCTTTCTTGTGCTCTTTGTCATCGAATCGATCCCATAAACAATAGTGGCAAATACATATGGGGAATTGCGAAGATAACTAGTGTTTCAGCACTGAGAAACAAGAGTAACCCATCATTAAACAGCTAGTAAATAAATCAACAAACTACTCAATCAATCAATCAATCAATCAATGCAATCGATCGATCGATCATTCGATTGATTGATTCTTCGAACGAATGATCCTAATGCATATTGCCAACAACTCTTTTAGAAAACGCATCGTGAACTGCAGTGTTGGTACATATGCCGTAAGCAGGAACAGGAAGTTTGCTGAGCAAGAGCACTTTATTTTGAGTACGGATCTACTGAAATCAGTTTGACTTATAATTACGGTGGTACAGTGACCCAAAAAGGAAAAATTTAGCTTGCATATCTGGCGGGATTTCGTGCGAGTGCCCCCTTCTTGCGGGATTTCCCGCCCGATCGCTTTTTTCGGAGCGGAGAAATAGAGACTTCAAAATAAATGTAAGTGCCACTGTTTTTTGATGTCAAACCAATCAAGAGAGCTGCGAAAGTCAGCGATAAAACTTCCTTTGTTTCGTTAGCGCTGTTTGTTTGTTTTCGCGTCTTGTCACGTCTTTTATTCACGGATTTGTCTATCATTTTCTAAAACAGGCGTTAAAAATAGTTTAGTTTCTAACCAGGTTTGAAGAAAGTTTTCAAACAATGGATTTTTCACGCATAATAGTAACAAATAATCGTTTTTTAATGCGATAAATTTGAATGCGATATTCTATTAGACAACTACAAACAGAATAATACCTGTTTGGAAGAAGATCATTCGTAAATATATAAAGAAAATAATACAAAAAAGCTTGTTTACAAACAGATGGATATTTTAATGTTATTTGCTAATTGACCGAAATATTGGACGAGGTTCGATCGTGCGGCTCCGTTTTGCTATATTGCGCACCGAACAAAGGAAATACTTTTAATAATTTAGCTTATCAAAGTCACGACATCACTTATCAGAAGATTTTATGTTTTGACAACGCATATTTGGTGCGATTTTTTGATTTGGTGTGTTGTTCTTAAGACTAGTAATTACGCCAACAGGAATCGTATAGAAAGATATTTTAAAGTGTTGTCGTCATAAAGTCTGATACAGGTACTATATAAACATGCTTACATAAATATTTGGTCCATACTGAAAGTCCGCCTGATTTAAACGTTGAGAAAATGGTTTTATCGCATACAGAGAATTTCACTTTTCCTGCTAATTTATCGTAGGGTATAAATAAAATTAATCATTTCTACATATTTAACATCTGTTTTATTTTTAGTAAAGGAAAAAAACTATCGACTTCCGATAATCGGTCGTGCGATAATTTATTCGCACCACGTGACGTAGCTTGGGTTTCACCGCCGCTGGGCTAGCTGTCAATCATATGCTGAACGTAAATGGTATTCGCAAAACACAAATGGAGAAGACATGAAAACTTAGAATCTTTGACTTATGAAAGTGTTAAATTTTGACCTCAAACGGTCTTCTACATCCCCCAGCCTGCTTCTCTGTACAATGTTAAGAATATGCAAGGCGTTAAATTGAGCGTGACAGGAATTCTGAAGCTATGAGCTCGTCAGTCAAGGCCAAGGCAATATTTCCGTCCATCTCGATAACCAAGAAGAAAGGCAAAACAGGGTCTGGAACAACGTCGCAAACTTCAAATGCACAGTCCTTGCCTTTTCTGCGGCCTCTAACACCGGTTTGTAACTTAAATCTCGTGGCTTTTGTATGGTGTGATCTGGGTTATTTCAAACAGGCGATGAATTATTGTTTTTGTTGTTCTCAAGGAATCCATTCGCAAGCAAGCTCCCCCAAGTCCGAGCGAACCAGGTCGCAGTTTTCCAGCGCGTGGTGCTTCACCGGCTCATTCGCCGTCGCTATCTCGGTGGTCAAATTCCGGCGAAACAAACCTATCAGCGCTGGAAAATGGTTATCAATTGAGCCAGTCAACCCCGGATTTGCGGATCGGGTACAGACATGTTCGGAGTATAAGTCAGCCGGTGAAGCCAGTGGCTGCCACTTCACACAGAGAATCCTTTTCTTCGGTCACATTCCCTGACCGAAGTAACTCGGTTAACAGCGACACTAGTTATTACGCTGAAGCAGCAGAAGTGCCAATGATAGTTCAAGAAGATATCATTGCTTTAACCTGCCATGTCAGGACGTTTTCGGAAGCCCTGAGCTCGCTGCGAAACACGTTTATAGAATGCGAAGGTAAGAAGTGTTTAGCAAAGCACCCTGTGTACGTTGTGTACTTGTATAAAGTCAACTTACTTTTATTCGAATTGTTTAGCGTGTGGGCAAACTGTGAGAAGAAATAATTTGGCATTATCTTTGAGGTGGCTTTGTTAAAATTAAGTTCTCTTTCTGATCCAGGAAATATTTTGTGAAATTTAAGCGCAAATGTCGTACAGAAGGGAGTTAAATACGTAATGTATCTCTTACTAATTAAAATTAAGGAGTATTTGAGACAGCTGAAACCTTTGATTGCTTTTAATCACCTTATTGAATCCTGTGTGGAGATTTTGCTTTCGAAAATAAAACCGTAAGGGTTGGTGACGACCTGCAGATTTCCTCTTCCTTTATTTTGAATTTCTTAATTTTTGCGTCGTGTTCAAATGTCATGTGAGTTGGAAGCTAGCCATTTTTATCGCAGAACTGTTGTCGAATTTGAAACCAAGCATCATAAAGTTTACTAGGTGTTTAAGTCACCAGTTTTTGCATGTCTCAGTCACGAATCTTTTTATATCACGTTGTAACCATTGCGGTTTCGTGTTTTTCATAAATTGTGAGTGACTGGAATTGCAATAACAAACGCCAGTGTTCATGAAGTGTTAAATTCTTGTGTGTTGAGATCAAATGTTTTTGTCACTTTTGTTTTTCGCCACCATAGCTTGTTTTCGAGTTCATTTTTAACAGATTTTGAGATTTAGGAAGCTCATTATGCTGTATTAAAATGCACTACAGTGTTTTATTATTCTAAAATGTACGAGTTTCCATTTACGCGCATAAAATACGACAAAACTGAATTTGTCTTAACAGCATGTCCACAGAAAAAGTAATTTTGCAGCTCCAAGCTGTAAACGAAATTGTTCGAGGTTCTTATGCGAATTTATTTTAAGTTACTGATATTGGTATGTTGTAATTATATCGTTCCTCTTTCCTAAATATATATTCTGTTTTTTTCTTTGACAGTACGGTGCAGGAGTGTTTATTTTGGAGTTGTCTATCTAAATGCCATTTAATTTGATTTGCAATACTCATTCACAGAGCAAACGCGAGGATTTGTTTTGATTGTTTACTTTTCAGTGAATGCCTCAATAACTAACTTGCTTCTCATGCCAACCTTGGATTGCAGAAATTTAGTGAGCACTGTTGATGCGAATTTACTAGGATCTCATTGAGAATATAATGAATCTATAAATCGTTTGAACTTTATCCTCACTTGTAACATGTATGTCAGATCAAGAACGTTCAATTGCCTTTATCCTAAAAATTATCTGATAGTGTTCTAGTTCTTCCATTAGTAAGGGAGGGTCTTGAACTGTGCTGTGACCTTTACATTCATCAAGAGAACCTAACAGTCATACCTTAAATTTTTGCAGCAAATGTTTTCCATACTGGTCTGGCTCCTTCTGTTTTATTTACATGAGCCCTGGTTCTGTTTTACTCAAATGATGTAGTGACTGTCATATTTATACATGACCACTGCTTACTAAGACTGTAATGGTACTTTGTGCGTATTTCAGTGGCTATTTCATTGATCCTTAGTATGATAAAAGGGACTCAGTGACTAGAGGAAACTGATTTTCTTTTTGACTTTAACCTCACACTAGGAAAACATTTTAATAGGCAATTTCATATATCTGTAGTGTGCAGTGATTTGCTGGCAAGCTGGTATGAAATGAAGTTGACCCAGCCTACATTTAACTACTCTGGTAGTCTTAAATCATTCGCCCAGCTAGTTATAAGGCCAGTCTGGAGATAAAGATGTTAATTCTCCTGGAAAATATATTGGCAAAGTGCTGCTAAGGAGGGTTTTGTTAAGGGCCAGGCACCAGGCAAATTGACCAGCTGTGAGGATGGTTTTGCCACCTGGAGAAGTTAAGTTCAAAAAGTTTTACTTGCCTGTGAAAATCATTTGCTCTCTTGTTGAAAACATTCGTGAAACCCCTGGCTAAGCTTCCAGCAATCATAGTCACAAGATACTGTCAAAGCACATCTATATGAATGGTGTTCACTTTTTATTATAATTAAAGAAACATGGATATCTTTATGTGCAATTATGCAAACAGCAGTAGCGTGAATTTTGTAGCCAAGTGCCCCAGTGATCCTAAGCTGTAATTACACAGACTGGATCAACAGATAACTTTTAATAACAGTTTGCATCACTCTATCAGATCAGAACACAAAGTGTCAACTCTCTATTTCTTCTTTATTATTTGGTAACATGACCTCATAATCATGTTTACATAGCCTCATAGGCGGCAAAAGATATTGAAGCATGTGGCACTAAATTTTTTTTTTTTTCCGTTGTTGGTTGATTTTTTTTTGTTTGTTTTCTAGGATTAAATTTTTATGATTTTGAGAGAGTGGTTCTTCTCACATGAACAAGATAATTTGTGCCTTTTGGCAAGTTACATGCAGATTATTACTGTTATAATAATAATGAATAAAAGCTTTATTTATACTGAAAAACTGATCGGCGCATTCAATATAAAGACCCTGGTATGAACCGGTGATCTGTTAATACCATTGTATCTGTTATTGACACGTGCATTCAAAATACAGGTAAAATAGCAAAACCACTGTGTTCAAAAAACATGTTATGCAGGAGTTTATCAGTTTGTTACAATGGCATCTTCTGGTTATGTTGTTGATTACTGTACTGAAGAACTATGTAAGGTGTGCGCATCCTTGTCCATTTTATCAGGGTTTCGCTTTCTTTTTAGTTTGGTTGTTTGTCCTTAGCTTGGAGTAAATAAATCGTCTTGTGTGATCGTCTGGGTGAAGGTAGTTCTGAAAAGAACTGTTGTTGGTGACTGACGTTTCGACAACTTGGGGGGAATTCATCTTCAGAGTCAAGTGAATAGTGTTAGTCGGTCGATGACGTTATAAATCTGGTCCGTTGAAAGTGATTGGTCAGTTTAGCCATGATGTTATTGGCTGAAAGATGTGTTTAAAGTTTGTCAGCAGTCATTGGACGGTTCTAGCAAGTTTTGATCCATCCTGTTAGTCAAATTAAGTCGGTCAGTATGAGTTACGCTTATTTTGAGTCAAATTAAGTTGGTCTGTTCGAGGACTGTTTGTCGATTTTGTTTATGTCCTGAATAAGTCGTTTGTAAGGTGCCAGTAGTTGTTGACATTTGTTAAGAGGTGTTTGTTCTAAGTTAGTGTGCCAGCTTTTCCAGAGTCATTCATTGCAAATAACCTGGTACTAGATTACGAATCAAGTGCTCTGATCACTAGGCAACACCACCTTCTCAATGAGTTACGTCAGGGGAATGTGGGTACCACTCCCACTCACTACTATATATGATCTTATCTTCCACCCATTTTGTGGCCTCATGGTTAGTGCCTCATGGTTAATGTGCTCGCCTCCGGATTAAGTGGTTTGGATTCAAGGGCTGGCCAGGGTCATTGTGTTGTCTTCTTGGGCAAGGCAGTTTACTCCCACAGTGTCTCTCTCCACCCAGGTGTATAAATGGGTACCGGCAAACTTAATACTGGGGGTAACCCAGTGATGGACTGGCATCCTATCCAAGTGGGAGTAGAAATATTCCTGGTCACTTCATGCTACTGTAACCCTAGTTAAGCACCAGCCTGAAGGGCCACTTGGTGCATGTGCGGACTCTACCTTAAGTTTACCTTATTTTGTTTCAGATAACCCCGATGATGATCCGCCAGAAGTGAAAGCACATGAACGTCTTGGTGAGGTGCTGTCTGTTCTTAAGGGAGTCCTCAATAAATACCAACCTTTGCACTCAACAGACATTCTCGCATCAGCTGGGACATTGATAAGCAAGGTCAAAAGTCACAATTATGAAGATACAAGTAAAGCACCTGATGAATTCTATGAATCTATTGA